ACTAGTGATTTTTTTCAAAAAATCACCAAGTTAAAATCAGTCTTGTTTTTTTTTTTAATTTTCTTTTCAAATTACGAAAATCTAATGGATATTAAAACCTTTTAAATGCAGTTTAAATCAAAATAAGTTGAACACATACTAGAATAAAATACATATTTCCAATTAAATAGAACGCTAATTTCCTTTTGATTTTTATCTTAAGAACAGGAACAACAAAACTTTAATTAAGAATATCCGACTAAACATTGTAAACATTATAACATTAACACCATTATTACCGAGTGGGCACACGATGAAAGGCAAGCATGGATGTTTGAACATTTGTCTTTAATAGAATTTTCGTCTTGTCAAATTACTGTCAATTTAAATCAAAGACAAAGTTTCAACAATCCATGACTGATAGTATTTTTATTACTTTCTGTGTATTTAGCAATGTAAATTAAAATAATTTGTCTTTGTTGCTCAAAAGTGTGTATGTTTTTAAAATAAGTGCTATCAAAAAATGAATAAACTTAATTAAAACTCCTAACTTTTGATTGTTTGTTACACTTTCAGAGTTTCAATTTCAGATAACTGAAAAACCAAAAAAAAAATATGATTAAAAAAATACATTTTTTTTGTTAAATAACATTATTTAAGGGTTCATTATTTCAAGAAATCACCTGAAGTGGTGGTCACGTAAAGCTTGGTTAAACGAGTGTTAAATCCACTTCAACGCCTGTAGTCCCAATTTTAAAGTACATATTTTTATTGTAACTAATTATTGCGGAAATTTTGATTAGTCAAAGATCCACTGGTATTCCTAGTCACACATAAAATAAATCTAGCTGATTAGTCAGGTATTAATACGCCTTATAAATATTTAATTTAATGTATTCTACGAAAGCGGTTTCCTTTATGAAATACTTCGGAAGTAACTAAGTGTTAAAGTTCAGTGGAAACATAGATATAAAACGTGCAAATCAAACACTCATGCTTTGCAAATTAAGCCAAAATAATAAAATTGAGAAAGCCTTTGAATTTTTTGGTATGACAAATCGTTTATTTTATAACCGCAGTTCAAATATCAAATCATTTACGTCTTTGTGTTGTAATTTTATTTATAATAAATGTATACTGTATGGAATTATTTACTGATCGATTCAACAAAAGTAATGCGAATAATCTAATTTTTCCAACCTTAGAATAAAGTATTTAAGTGGATTTCATTTGAAAAACTGTGTATAACCGAATCATTGTAGAATTATTATATGATTGCTGCAATCCTGCGTATAACATTCTAGAATATTAAATTAAAACTTCACCATACGGTGTGTTATTTTTATCAAATAATAAATATAAAATTGACATTCTAAGATTATTTAGAATTCCTTATTTACGGCGTTATTTAATAAAATTTTCCTAGACTTCTTACATAATGAAATGTTTTCAGTTTTCATGTCTTATTTAAATTTGGTGGGAATTTTAACAAAAAATATTGTTACGAAATAAACCCATGCGCCGCCCCGGTACGACACCTATGGGTGACTCATCGTCGGTGACGGCGGCCGGACGATGTTCGCTAAAGAAAAGCCTGGAAGCGGAACTCGCGATGGGTATTCCAGAAAAACCCCGATCGCCGAACATCTAGAAGGAAGTATGGATTTAAATAGAGGCCACCTTCGGGAACGATTATTATTCAGTCGAGTCGAGTCCAGCGAATGTTGAGAAACGCCAATCAAGTTGCGCGGGAATTATTTTGTGCATAATCGCTGTGTAATTAGTCGTGTAAATTCGAGTTACTAAGAAATAAATTGCTGAGTTTTACCCATGCCGATTTTAAATACCCGTTCAACGTAACAATATTTTTACGAAAAAATCAAATCAGCGCGGAAAAATTGTAGTTAAAAAAAAATTGTTGTTAGTTAAAGTTTTTGATAAAATATGTTTTACCAAAATAAAAGCCCTAATGAACCCGTTTATAGGTTCAAAGAAAATTTGTAATCGGCCTTTAAAATCGTAAAATTGTAATATGTAGATTGTTTTTGAAATAATGTAGTTTTAAATAATAAAAAAGTGTACAAGGTGAGTCAAAGATGCACGATATATGATTAATTATTAGAAATACTGGGTGACTATTAATGATTGTGATTTTTATCAGGTTGGTAACATATTTAAAATTTTATGTTGGGCTGATTTTCAAAATAAAATTTAGGATACCAAGTCATCTTCTCATCACATGAAATATCCAATATACCACGAGTTTCTTTTAGTTGATACAACCCCTATAACTTTTTTTATTTTTAAAGATAAACATCTAGTTCGTTGAACAAATTTATATCATTTTAAAATATCACTTATGTGAATAAATGACATGAGTGTCAATTTTTCAAGCTACTAGGTTGTTATCAATAAATATGAATTTTTCGTCTATTTTATTGATTTTAGAATATTGGTTGCTTTTGATTTTTTAGAAAAATCAATCTTTCTATTTATGAAAAAATATACCTAGTGTTCCAGGAAAAAAAGTTGACGTCATTTCCATCATTGCCATCACATGGATCTGTTAAAATTGTACAAATTGGCCCAAAGAACTACATGTTTATCTTTAAGAGTAAAATAGTTACAGGGGTTGCATAAATTAAAAGAAATACCCTGCACGTTTTATTTTTACATATTCTAATTGGGTTTATTATTAAAATTCCAATGCGACGTTGCCACTTTATTCCCATTTTCTAGATTTTTTTAGCAGTGGAAAGATGCACAAAAAAAATCACCGTTTGGTTATTTTTAAAATCTGTGCCATAATATATTGCGGTTATCTCTCCTGCTTTGTTAAGATATAAATAAAATTGAACCTTAATATACAAAGTGTTTGTAATTTTTTTAAATAATTACACTTTTTATATATCGGTATTTCAGTTTTTTCAAAGAGAACACCTCGTATTTTAGTACTGCAACTCTTTTTTGTTCGTTTTTTTTTTGTGTTAAATATTTTCTATATTTCAAGTTCAAAAAATAGAGTACTATACAGTAATAAAATACAGGGTATTCTATTTGAAAAACTGAAATATTGATATTTCAAAATTGCATCGTTTTAAAATTTGTTTATACATAAATACTCTATGGATTAAAATTTAATTTAATTGAGTAACACACTTACGCTGACGCTCAGGAAGTAAAAAATTTTAAAAACGATGTGGCAACGTCGCATCGGGATTTAAAAAATATAACTATGGTTATAATGCGTAGGCAGAATGAGAATATGTACGTAAAAATATATAAGGTGTTCTATTTAAAAAAAGTTGTGTAAAATCGAAACTAATTTTAATGTACACTACTCAAATAACCGTACAACTTTGGTACGTGCCTTATTTTTCTATCTCTAGTAATAATTAAATGAGCTATCGACAACTGCGTGCTTAGTGATTCACTCTGTATATATATTTTTAATAAATCCTATGATGAATTTTCATTTTGTTTTGCCTTTTAATATGAAGAAAATCTACAGTACATCCTAAAAATTATATAAAAAACTTTCAATAATTGCACACATGATGTTTTTCAAGCAATTAGTTTTATTTAAAAAAATACAATTGCATTACTTTTTGTCCTTTCTGATACGATGTAAATCTCTAAATTTTTGTGTGCTCTTAAAAGCGCTTAAAAAATCCTTGATAAATCGTATAATCAAACACACGGCCTAAAAGATACTTTGTTACTTGAGTTTTAAGCCAGGTTTTAAAATAACTATATTTAAAGAGACTCCTGACAAGCCGTTTGTTTAAGATGAGCTTTTCATGGCACTCAATTTGAAAAAAAGCATACCTAGAAATTTACTATTCTGATCCAAAGGAATAATACAAAATTAGATCATTCGCATTGCTCTTGCTGAAGTAAATAATTACATACAGTATAAATGTATTATAAATAAACTTAATAAAGACACGATTTATCAAAGTGAAAAATTCGATGAACCCCTCAATTTTTTTAGTTTTGACCTAATCCGCAAATTATAAAATCTATGTTTACATTGAAATTTAACACTTATTTTTACGTTAGTTCCGACGATTTAATTAAAAAAACACTTTCGTAGAATACATTCAATTAAATATTTATAACATGTATTAATACCTGACTAACCAGGTAGATTTAGTTTATGTGTAACTCCGAATAGGAGTGGGTCTTTGACTAATCAAAATTTCCACAATAATTAATTGCAATAAAAATATATAGTTTAAAATGGAGACTACAGGCCTTGGAATTGACTTAAAACTCCTCTTTTAACTAACCTTTGCGTGATCACTTCAGGAGCTTTAATTCTTATTGAAATAATTAACACTTAAATAACGTCATTTAATAAGAAAATAATTATAATTTGCTTAAAGAACGTGAAAATAATTATCGTGACACACTTAACTCACGAGTTTTATGTATAAAAATAAAAATTAATTTTAATTTCTCGCGTAATTAGTATATCTTCGTTAGCCTCTGTTCCATTATTCATAAGTGGGTTTGTAGTCAAAAAGATGGCTTTATAGTACATGCATATTTTATAATTTTATATCAAAAGTTAACCAATAACACGAATTTTGTCGTCGTTCTGGTTAAATGACTCACACTTGTTAGAACTACTAGATCAAAAGAGTCAAATGAACTATTACTCAAAGAAGTTGGAAGTAGTTTTTTTTTTTATTTTCATAAAACATTGTCCATTTTTTGTTACTAAATTAATTGTTGACAAACCGATCTCATTTATTTATTTATTTATTTATTTTTATATTAAGGGTTTAATAATTATTAATTTTTTGGAATTCTTTTATCAAGTCATTTCCTCCATATCCCGGTGTAAATCACTTCTATTTTTCCCTTGTTATTTACGAAAAACATGTTTTTTTATACTTGTTAGACAATATTTATGTCATTAAATCTAGGTCTACTATACACAAAAATCAGTTCTAACGTATTTTTCACTTAATATCTTACTTCATGTTATGACAAGCTGTTTTTTTCAAACTTACCACGCATTCCTGGGAGCCGCATTCTGCTGCTGTATTCCGCTCAGCTGCACCCGCACCTCTCCCAAAAACACATTATCCCCCATCCCTGGAGCGTCATGCCATATCGACACGTTCAATTCACAAATCTCCACTTCACCGTCCCCACACAAGCCATCTTTACCCTCATACGCGTCGAAAGTCAACACCTCGTCGAACTGCGGACATGTCGTTTTTTTCCTAACTTTAGTCCTCTTCGAGACTGTCTTACGGTTCGTGTAAGTCACGCACGCCACAGCATATGGATCACAAGCACCGTTTTTGAGCGTCAGATCCAAACACTTCACCACCTGCACTGACAAACGATCGTTTCTACCGTAGTTTGTCACATTTTTGTGTTTTTGAAAGCTCGAAGTGAACTTGAGTTCGATGTTAACCTTGCCTTGCACCTCCGAGTCTGCATCGACTGGCTTAATGGCAAACCAGTGGTCTCTGTTGTTGTACGAGGCGAGCTCCTCGCGCTTGATGGCGACTTTGCCGAGGACTTTGTTCTGCTTGAGATGCTTGTCTCGGTCGAACAGGTAGATGGAGATGTAGCGGAAGTCTCTGGGCACTTCGAACTGGTACTCCTCGCCGAAGAAGGGGCTGAAAGAAATTGAGGTTAGTTTTGGCAGTTTTGGGGTTGGAGTGGTTGTTACTTTAGGGTTTTCTCGGCTGTCTTCGTTCTGTAGATTTCTTCCTGGTCGAGGGACAGTGTGCAGTATACATCCCGAGTCACTGAAGATAAATTGGATCTGGGTTGTAATTGTTTGGCTTCTCCTGCAAGGAAACGGTGTCGTGGGTGAAAACAGGCACTAGTCTGTTATTTTAGAGGCATGTTTTGAAAAATTGTTACCACCTGCTTGTGTTTGAACCTCAAAATGTCAACAATGTCAGTTGGCGTTAAATAACAAAAGACGGTCGCTTGCGGACGTTTTAATTTACGGTAAAAGTGATTATCGAGGAAGCGGAACCTGAAAAATAGAGGTTATTTTCGATTTCTTACCGATTTTGATTTTGAGCCTTTCTTCGACTCTCACTGGGACGTCCGCCATGTTTCTGTCTACTCCATGTTCTGTTGAAAAAATGAATGGATCGGTTTGACATGAGTACAGTACAGTCGACCAATAATCTAGTCGGCCAGTGGCATGGCTAACTTGACTCGAGCTGTGGGTTTGCGAAAAAAAGGCGCCATTTTTCCGATAGGGGAGATACGGGAAGAAATGAATGGGGCTGGTGGACACGTGCTGGTGTTATTCACCACTGGATTTTATGAATGAACCGACGAGGAAGGCGACACTGAACTGCATACGGTAGTCGGGGCAAATCGTTACAAAGTAGCGCAAACAGCGCACTACGCAAGTTCCGACTGTATGAATGAACAGAAAAAACACAACGCGTTCTCATAATTCATCTATCGCCATTAATAATTAAGACGGATTTCGGGACGGGGCTGTACGTGGAATTACTATTAGGTAATGGCTGAGTGCCATGGGAGGGAAGGGACGTACCAACGGCAAAAAATTCGTTTCTTTCATTAGAACGTTAGATCTTACGGGTTTCGCTTTCGATTGGTCGAGGTGTACTCCTACGATATTTATTTTATTAATAACCGAAATAACTGTTTAATTATAAGAAAAAAGATAAATGACGATAGAAATCGATATCAACGGAAAAACTCATCAATTGTTGCTTGAAATTAAAAAAATTGATTATTTCGACATGCCATTTCAGGTTCAGAAACTTTCCCTGATATTGATATTTTATAATTGCATATTTTATTATATTGCAATTTTCTAGTTTTCTTATCATTTTTATTAAAAAAGTCGTAAAAGTGACGAAAAAGAAAGGTAGGTATTCCATAATATTCACCTCAGGTCACCACTAATTTGTGAAAGCACGTTCCCGTGACGAAATCTTTAGACTAATTGTGCTTAGCACACTAAAGCAGTTTGTTATTCGACGCCGCCAAATCTTCAGACATTTCCATTTGGAACGAACTATATTTCTCTTCATAAAAAAATGTTCATAGATTGCAGAGTAAGAATGAATTTTTTAGTGAGGACAGATAAAAAATGTTGATATTTGAAATCACTAAATCAATATTATTCTGTAGACAATTTAAACTTACCGTGTCTAGAAATAGATTAAAACTCTTCATTCATAACTTTTTTAAACATCCTTTAGAAATATTTATGAAAAATAAAAAAAACTGGTCTAAAATTATTTAAACTGAACTTCCCTTTCCCTTGAAGCATAATCAAATAATTACAATTTCTTAGATAAATCATAAAATTATATTTCACGAATTTTCATTTTTTTTGTGTGGTTTGTTAAACTACAAGTAAATAAACGTGCTGTTTACATGTTTCAAGTGAATTTTTCAGAACAAAATTTTGTGATGACGTCATCAACTTTTTAGTAAACATGCATATTATGTAGGTAACATACTAACAACCGAACCGTTTCACAATCATGATTTAACAACAGTATCTACTGTATTTCCAAAATTTCATTGAATTAAGCTGTTTTTGATTTAATCAATAAAATGAACTGCTTCATTCGTTAATTTTCTGGGTTATCCTGTACAAGGAATTCGACACAATATGAATGCACTGGTAAACCACAAGACTCATAATATTTTACACATTTTAAATCGGATGATCCAGCAAATTTTCAGATGATGATGACGTTCAAGTTTCTGGAGTGAATAAACAGTTAATTATGATTAGCGATTTACCATGCTTAAAATAACCTGCGAAATGTTGCTTTACATACAATTTTGATTTTTTTTCCAAAAATGTTGGTGTCTAGGGTAAAAGATAAAGACGAATCAGACAAATTTTGGTTGGGATTACCATTGCTACATTTCTACAAGGTATTCCTAAAATATGTCTAAAATCTTACAACAGTAATAATTCCAGTTTCGAAGATTTATTTTATAATAAAATCGTCAACGGCAGGCAGATGGATAACGGATGGACAAAAACTTTTTCTGATAGTTCGCATATGTCACTAAACAAAAGAATAAACATTTTTTAGATGTTTGGTTTCTTTGGTGTTTCACAATCGACTAGAGATGTACCGACTATAGGTCTGGCCGACTAACCGACTAGCCGATTGTTCGGCCAGTAAAAACCGACTAGTCGGCCGACTGTTCGGCTTTGCTAAAACCGGTTTATAAATGCGACAAACAGTGTGTTTTTTTTTCTATTTCTCTGGCTACCTTAAAGGTTTGTTCTATTTTAATAAAAGGAATAACTAAAGTTCCTTTGTTTTCCAAAAAATGTGTTAAATTTTTTTGGATAATTTTAACATTTAATTTTTTTTTTAGTAACTCAGTACAAAAATAAAGAATAACACAATTTAGGGTCAGTTTACACAATATTTTAACTGAGATTAAGTTGATCGCACATTTAACAAGGCCATTAGCGACGTCTGATTGGCGTAGAGTCGGTCACATGATACTTTAACGCGGGGTTAAAAATTAAATCGCAATTAAATATTTAATTGAGGTTCTGTAAACCGGGTTTAAGGGCCAGTTTATACAATATTTTAACTGAGATTAAGTTGATCGCACATTTAACAAGGCCACTAGGGACGTTTGATTGGCGTAGAGTCGGTCACATGGTACTTTAACGTGGGGTTAAAAATTAAATCGCAATTAAATATTTAATTGAAGTTCTGTAAACCGGGTTTAATTGTTTTATATACTATTTTAATTTTAATAAAAAAAGCCGACCGATCGGCTGTTTAGCCGACTAGTCGCCGACTGCAGCCGACGATGAAAAACGGCCGAATAGTCGGCTTATCCGACCGGTCGGCCACTAGTCGGTACATCCCTACAATCGACAAAATACGAGAGTGCAAGATTTCAGTTACGGTTGTTGTTTAGCTTTTAGAAACTTAATAGGCCAATAACCAATAATATTTGAAACCAACATGATTAATGTGAAATTATGTCTACAGCAAATCATCTAAAATTTTTTTTAAATAAATCGGATAGGAAATGTCCAGTACAAAAGCAAATACCAAACTCTCCAAGTTTTATATGTCATTCTGATTAGCTCTCAGCTTTTTCCTTTTTGCAACATTAGCTACATTTTGACAATTTTTGACACAGCTTGATGATACGCCCTAAAATGTATGGAATGTCAATTGTGCCTTTTTTAAATATATATTTCAGGCTTGTTCAAAAAACGTATTACTACTTTGTAACTTAATAGTAGTTGCTCTGGGCAACAAGAATTACTGTATCGAATTTTACATAACAATGTAAGTATGATACTTTTCATTGTCAAATCATCTTTGCATAAATATAAAGGAAATTTATGTAAAAAACGTAAAATGCCAAACTCATCTACTGGATCCAAAATACGTTATTTTTACTTCCACAAAGACAATAATTGAATGAAGTAATGCTGGTATTGGTTAACAATTTAGTGTTTTCTTAACACTGCTTTCTGGGAAAATTTTGTAACAAGTGTATTTTAAGGTTGTCATAAAAATTAGTCTGAGGTTATTTAGACAGAACTTCCGTCGCACCTGAAGTACCTACATTACAGCATATTCAGGTGCAATGTAAGACTAATAAAACAGTACTGCATTTTCTGGGAATGGCGTGAGTCGTTCTTGATTTGACCAATAAAATAAATTACCGCGTTCACTAATTTTGTTGAGTCACTCTGCATTGGCACTTCTAAAAAATATAAATGCATTGGTAAACCTGTTTTGCACTTTTTAGATAGGATTTATTCTACAAAATTTTCAGATGATGCCATCAATTTTTTTTTTTTGGAGGGGGACTAAACAGACAAATTTTGATTACACATTTATCATGTTTACTAGAAATTTAAAATTATGCAAGATTTTATACTCTGTTCAAGTGAAAGAGTCAGCAATAAAGACGGGTGATCAGCGCGTGTTCAACTGCCCATTGGTTGACAAATTTGGGGATGAGTTTTCCCCAAGCCCGTTTTACACTGTACCGATGTTTCCTTGCCGATGCGTTTCATTCACAACTCCCTTGTCTAAGAAAATCCCGTTTTTGTACTTTTCTCGTTTATAATATGTTGTGGGTTACTGTCATTCTGCAAAAAACCGTCCATTGGTTGTGGCGCAGTTCGGCACTGGATTTGAAAATTAGATCTTAAAAGTCCTCTACAGTGTAACACAGGCTAGGCGCAGTAATTTTACGCGCACTCCGCTCCAGGATGCATCACGCAGGTTTCACGTGATCACTGACTCTTTCACTTGAACAGAGTATAGAGCATCAGTTTTGCAGTTTCAAATTTGATATTTGATCAATATTGTTACAAAATTTTGACTTTTTTTTAAGCAAAAAATCAAAACGGCTTCATACATATACACCTGTAGAAGTATACGTTATTTTATAAATTTAAATAACATTTGCTATTCAATATTTTGAGCTGAAGTCAACATATTTTGGTTAACGTTTTACCATATGACTTAGTCTGTGCTACAAAATTCTTAAATCATATACGAATTGATTTGATGACCCGGGTCGGTTAGTTAGCATCGTGCGTGCCCGCTACACCTTGGGTCGTAGGTTCGATTCCCGCCCTGCCTTTGGGTTTTGTGTATGTCCCGTTCCCCTGTAACTGGGCCTCCGGCCTGTTGGGGAACGTAAATGAATAAAATAAATAAAAATAAAGAATACAAAATTATTATTAGAGGGCACTACAAATTCATTTTTGAGATATGAAGAATTAAAACACTTTTTATTATACTGAAAAATTAACAAAACTATTGTTCCAGTGACGTGACAAATTACGAACGAATTAAGAAATATTTTACACAATATTAAAAAACAGAGACCAATAAAGTGACAAATATTATTGTAATAATAACAAAAAAAATTGGTCTAAAGATTTGAAACAGTACTTCCCTCGCTGTGGGAAACGTGACGACTTATTATGTTTTTTTTTCGCATTACATTTTTGTAGTGGGACATTTTAAAATAAATTGAATTAATTTTTTCAGTTTTGTCATTATTTGGCATTGAGATCTTTGTCATTTTTTTCTGTGATTAAATTGTACGAAGTCGTCTCTGGGGTGTATAATATGTTGCCTATGCAAAAATTGTCAGGTGTGAACAGATAATGTGAACAGATAAAATGAACACCCTGTATAGTATTGTAATTTAAGACAAATAGCCATACAATTTACCAACCTGTAGACGTAACGGTGAAATACAAACGAAACTAAAACATGGTTTCTACGAATTACAATAAACGGATGACAATATGCGATGGTTCAGACTTTTTTATTGCTCTGACTTCCGTTTATTCAATAAAACATTACAT